CACCGGAATATATTCAGACCGATATTGGTTCGAATATTTATTTTTTCGGACCGAAACGTTTCGGTCCGTATATGATCGGTCCGCATACGTCATTTTTCTAGTAGTGGTTGATTGGTTTCACAATCCAAAAATTAACATTCAAATATCAAGTTTCATATAAACTAGTTAAGGAGGCACAAGTAGAATAGAGATCTCATCTCAAGAAATAACCAACAATAGCTTTTAAAATTCAATTGGTTGTATTCTTTTGGCATGACATAAAACTTGAAAAAAAAAAAGGAAAATGGACAATGACTTCATTCCTTGATGCATACTTCCATCATTGATCCAAAAGTTAACAATATCAATTTGCAAAGTTTATAGTGCCAAAATAGTACAAAGAAAGCTGCCAAGTACAAATCCCACTTTAGGAACAAAAAAGAAGAGAAATTTTACAAAATTTATAGTGCCACGGTTGTCCCAAAAAAAGCTACCAAGTAACAATCACGATTTAGGAATAGAAAAGAAAAGAAAATTCACAAAGTTTATAGTGCCAATTGCCAATGTTGTCCAAAAATAGTAGGTTATCAACCAAGTACTAACTATAACTAGGTAAATACCAAATATTGAGAAATAAAAGCCTACCAAGTAACAACTCCCAAGTGCAAATACAAGAGACAAAAATAAGTTGGTGGGAGAATAAACAAGCTACCAAGTACCAAAACTATCCAACCTTAGTGTGCCCCTGGACAAAAAAAATTAATATGGTTATAAACTTAGAAGGACGTTAAGAAACTCATAGTGACATTTGCCAAACAAAATTCAGTGTCAAGAAAAAAATAACTCATTGTTGAAAATAGGAAGTTTTGAGCTTTTTGAGACTTTAAATTAATAAAAATTACTTCAAGAGGTATCTTCACCTTCCGAAATAGTAAAAGTTTGTCCTTGAGATGGTCCTACTCTTCCAAGCTCACTAGTAGGAGGAGGAGAAGTCATACTTATATTGTCCAAGTCTAAATGAAATTCACGTCCTATCTCCTCACCTTCAACATCTACTTTTAAAGAAGTCAATATACATGATTAAAATTATTCATTCTTAATCCAATCATCTTTAATTGCAAATTGAAAATAGGTAGATTCAATGAACAAAAACAAAAGAAGCATATTACCTTCCTTTCCAAATGCATCCAGCCAAGTTCGAGTTGTAAGCAAAGCTTTTGCATTTTGAGGTAAAAGAGATCCCCTCGATTTGCTTATAATTCTCCCACCCATGCTAAATGCAAATTCAGAAGCTATTGTGGTAATTGGAATTGTTAGGATGTGTCTAGCCATCCTAGCCAAGTTAGGAAGACGTTTCTCGTTACTAGACCAATAAGCAAGGACATCCAAATCCTACTCTAAAGCAAGCCTTTCCTCCTCCAAATACTATCATAATTCAAATGTATGAACCTTTTCCACATTGAAACTTTGAAAGCCCTACATTAAATAGGAGCCACCAAACCATAAAATAACAGAAATATAGTTTTATACCACGAAAATGGCATCAAAAATGAGCAGAGATATATACCAAAAACTGCAGGAACATGGCAATAAAAGTGCAGAAAACAATGAGTAGCAGTTATTAAAATTAGCCACCAAATCATAAAATAGCAAAAATATAGTCTTATACCACAAAAATGGCAGCAAAAATGAGCAGAAATATATACCAAAAACTGCAGAAACATGACAGTAAAAGTGCAGAAAACAATGAGCAATAGTTATTAAAATCAGCCACCAAACTAGAAAATAGCAGAAATATAGTTTTATATCGCAAAAATGGTAGCAAAAATGAGCGCGCAAAAATATGTACCAAAAACTGCAGAAACATGCAGAAACATGGCAACAAAAATGCAGGAGACAATGAGTAGCAATCACCAAAACCAGCCACCAAACCATAAAATGGTAGAAATATAATTTTATACCACCAAAATTGCAGAAAAAATTAGCAGAAAAAGATACCAAAAACTGCAGAAACATGCAGAAACAAGACAAGAAAAGTGCAGGAAACAATGAGCAGTAGTCACTAAAACCAGCCACTAAACCATAAAATGGTAGAAATATAGTTTTATACCCAAAAAAATGGCAGCCAAAATGAGCAGAAAAATATACCAAAAACTGTAGAAACATGCAGAAACATGGCAATAAAAATGCCAAAAACAATGAGCAGCAATCACTAAAACCAGCCACTAAACCATAAAATGGCAGAAATATAATTTTATACTAAAAAAATGGCAGCAAAAATGAGCAGAAAAATATACCGAAAACGGCAGAAACATGCAGAAACAGGGCAATAAAAGTGCAAGAAACAATGAGCAATAGGTACTAAAATTAGCCACCAAACCATAAAATAGTAAAAATATAGTTTTATAGCACCAAAATGGCGGCAAAAATGAGCAGAAAAGTATGCCAAAAACTACAAAAACATGTAGAAACATGGCAATCAAAGTACAAGAAACAATGAGCAGCAATCACTAAAATCAGCCACCAAACCATAAAATAGCAGAAATATAGTTTTATACTACAAAAATGACAGCAAAAATGAGTAGAAATATATACCAAAAACTGCAGAAATATGCAACAAAATTGCAAAAGATAATGAGTAGCAATCACTAAAATAAGCCACCAAACCATAAAATAACAAAAATAGAGTTTTACATCACAAAAATAAGTAGAAAACTATACTAAAAATGGAAAAAACATAGAAAAAAATGAAGGAAAATTAAGAGCAACAAACCAAAAAAATGGTACATAAATTTACCTTGATGGGATTATGACCTTGTAATTGGTTGAACATCATGCTTTTACTGGTGATACATGTAGAATCTATTGTTATTGTACTTTTCTTAGTAGTACTAAAGCTGTTATCTATTACATATTCATTGTAGAGATCAAACAACAATTTAGAAATATGTTCAATCTCAGCCTTCCATTTTTCCTCATCATCTTTATTTAGCATTTGGTAGCAATATGTTACAAAGTCTAGCTAGCAATGAGGATCAAGAATAATGCCAAAAGCAAGTATCACACTGTAAGAGTCCTAATATTTATCAAATTTATCCTTCATCCTACTGGCCATCTCCCTTAAATATACATCCTCACTTTTCATATAATCCAACAAGTACCATTCAATCATCCACACAGATTTAAAGTACAAATTTGTTGTTGGATATTTAGATCCAGAAAACAAAGTAGTAATTTCAACAAAAGGTGTCAATAACTCTGAAATTCTAAGAACTCTAGTCCATTCTTCTTCATCCAATGAACATTTAAAATGCTCATCATCCAAGTCAAAATTAATACAAGCTTCTTTATATAAGAGTGCCCTATCAAGCATGGGGTGTGTGTAGAATTCCACCTAGTAGGGGAATCTAACCATAATCCCTTCCTCAAATCACAACCGCACATTTAGCATAGTCTTTAAAATTCAAAATTCTAGCCTCCGAAGCAATTATATACTTTATCCTCTCCCTAATCTGCTTAACACTTTCATCAACCAATTTCAAACCTTCTTGTATAATCAAATTCAAGATATGAGCAGAACATCTAATATGGAAATATTTCTCCCTACACAACACTAGTTTCTCAAGATTAAGTTGATTTTTCAAAATTTCTTGCATATTATCATTAGTTCTTGCATTGTCTAATGTAATTGAAAAAATTTTCTCCTCAATCCCCCACTCTTTAAGCAAGTCATACACAACTTTATAAATTCCTAGCAATATGAGGGGGTTGGACATGCACAAAATTCAAAATCAAACTATGCAAATTCCAATCATCATCAACATAGTGTGCAATTAAACATAGATATCCTTGTGTTACATAGATGTCCACGTGTCACAAGTCAAACACATTCTACTAGACAGTTTTTTCAAACTCTCCTCAATCCTCTCTTTCTCCCTCTTAAAAATTTTCAAGCAATGATTCTTCACAGTATTCCTACAAATTGGTTTCACTTTTGCATTCAAATACTTCATTAATTCCCTAACAGCTTCATGCTCAACCCAAGTAAAAGGATATGTATGCTTAATAACAACTATAGCACACAATTCTTTAAAAGTTTCTTGATCAATTTTTTTCACTACTTTTCCAAAATTATTTAACATCATCTAGAGAGGATCTTTCCGCACTCAACGAGGGCATTTTGGAACATGCCTTCTCATATTTGAAGTGCCATGAGTTCCTGTGCAGATGTATTCTTTTCCACAATATTTGCATTTACCTTTTCTCACTCCATCCTTATTCTTTGAAGCAGGCATAAGGATGAAATGTTCCCAAACAGTAGAGGTAGAAGCCCATGCAATAGGCCTCGGGCCTTAGATTTTGCTTGCACCTCAACCTCGACCTCTTTCCCAAGTACAAAGCAAGAGCCAACATTGCTTGCATATTCCTTATCGTTGCCTTTATCAACATCCACTATATTCAAAATTTAAATTCATAATTAGAATTTATAACAAACTAAAAAAATAAAAATAGAATTTGTAACAAGCAAATACCAATGAAAGGGTCTGAGTCTGATTTTGATTCTAGTTGTGCAATTGCAGATAGCTTTTCAAATTGACCATCTCCATTGCTTCTCTTCCTTTTCATCTATGGCCACCAAAGCATGCAAAAATTAAAATAGAAAAAGTAGAATTGAGGAAGTAAAGAGAAGAAAACAACCGTGTAAAACAAGAACATGCCACCAAAAACCACCCATGGTTACCTCGAAGGCTTTAGAGAGAATTTAGTGTCGAAGAGAGTATTGTAACTTGTCAGACTCGAAGGAGAAAGGAAGAAGAGGTTGGAGTCGATGCGAGTGACGGTAAGATTTGAGAAATGGTGGAGTTGCCGAGTCGGAGGTTGAAATGCTGTATGGACTATGGAGGTTGCAAGTTGGAGAATCTGAGGAGAGTTGGAAGAGTTAGAGTTTTTGAAAATATTAGAGGAAGAACAGGAAAGGTCATGAGATCACTGAGATGAGTGGCAGGGTTGGACATTGGGAGTTCAGGATTTTTTTGGCTTCTTGAAGATAGTGAGCCGAGAGAAGTAGCCAATTAGATAGAATTAGCTATTTATTAGGGATTTAGGTGAGATTGAGATTTGAAAATTAGGAAATAAAATATATAAATAATAAATTAAAATTTTTTTAATATTTATACAGGTAAACTAGTCAAGCTCGTTAACCCCACGTTTACCTGGTAGGTCAACTCGTTATTGACCCATTACCTGTCGAGTTTTCTTAATGGGTCATTAACGGATCACGAATCATGAACATCTGACCCTAACCGTTTTAAATGGGTGGGTAACGAACGAATTAACAAGTTGTGTAAAAAATTGCCAGATCTATTGGAAGTTGATTCAACTCCAACAACGCCGTCTACTGCGGGGAAGTTTAATTCCAACAACGTCTACTTAATTAGGGGTACCCCCTCACGAACAAATTGTAATGATAGTGATATATGCGAATAACAGCAATAATTGAACTCCAAGAGTTTGATGTATTACAATAATTGTTGTCAAGGAACTAGGAAGCGCCGATTAAGAAATAGGATGGGTCGGGAGCAAGATGAGGAAAAGGAGCTGTGGAAGCTATTAGGTAATATACAACTTAGGAAATTTGTAGGTGATAATTGGAAGTGGAGATATGAGGCGGAGGGTAGGTATATAGTGAAGAAAGCTTATGAATTATTAGCTCCTGTGGAATGCTTGTTGGACAGCCAGTTGTGTAAATTGATTCGGTGCAGGTTGGTGCCCTCTAAAGTGAGTATTTTTGGGTGGAGGTTGTGCTTAGATAGACTCCCAACTAGAGGGAATTTACAGAAAAAAGGAGTGAACTTACAGGGGGACAATATGATGTGTGGATTATGCAAGAAGGGGGTGGAGGAGGTCGATCACCTATTTTGCACGTGCATGGAAGCTTGGGTAGTTTGGGTTAAGACGATTAAGTGGTGGGGTATGGAGGTGGTGATGCTGGATACAGTGAAGGGCGTGGCTGAGATGTTGATCTACGGTATAGGCAGTTTGGTAGGAAAAGAGATGGGAGCCTGCATTTTTCTCGTTACTGCTTGGTATTTGTGGTATAGGAGAAATGTTTTGGTATTTCAGAGGGAGGAGGATATTAAGGAGCAATTGTTGGAGTTAATTCAAGTTAAGACTCACTTTTGGGTAAGCAATAAGGTGGCTGGATGTGCTTTTTCGTTGGTCCAATGGCAAAGTAACCCGAGGGAATGTGCAAGGGAGCTGAAGCGGTACAAGAAATCCTTGAAGATGTTTAATCAGCAACAGAAATGTCTTCAGTCCTTAAGTTGAAGTCTGTTCTTTACTGATTATTCTTGTTCTTTCGGGGGTTTTCATATTTCTGAGATCCTGCAGTGTCTTTTTTAACGTGCAGGGAGATTGGTTTCCTTTTTTTTTTTTTGTAAAAGGGTAGGAGTATCTCTTATACTCCAGTATTTTAAATAAAATAAATTCTTTGCTGATCAAAAAAAAAAAAGTTGATTAATTATGCAACGGACTAAAGTAGGGTTGATTAAGTACTGACAATAGATTTTGAGTCAACAGTAGCTTAAATTATTTTGGTCCTTATTACACTCTCTTGTTATTTTTAGTAGTTCGATTTTTTGATTTTTTAAAAATAAATTTTAAATAAAATTTTAACATATTATATAAATAATAATTGAATTTTTTTATCAAACAAAAACACTCAACAAGAATTTTATATATAGGGAAAAAATTTTTCAATTGTTATTCATATAAGTTGTTAAATTTTTTTTAAAAAATTTATTTCTAAAAAATAAAAATAAAAAAAATTAAAACTATTAAAAATGAACATAATGAATATATATTTTTTTCCCAGTTATGGGAAAATGACAATGGTGTAGAGGGAAAAAACAAGAAAAGGAAAAAAAACAAAAACCAAAAAGTGTATTACAATTCAAATTATATTAAACGGTAGAACATATACTCCCTCATTTGTCTCAAAATAATAAACATTTTTTGATTTTATTTTTAAATTAAAGATTTGAAGACAATTTTTATTTTTATGTATTTTATCCAAAAAAAGAAATAAAAATAATTGTAAGAATTACTCCTAACTTTTTTTATTTCAAATTTGTTAAAAAAATAATTATTTTTTTATATTTTAAGTGAGACAAATATTTTTTATTTTAATATTATAATTATTTCTTAATTTTAATTATTATTCCTATCACAAAAAAGATTTTTTATTTTTATTTCCCTTTTAAAGAGTAAAAGGAAAACAGAAAAATGTGCAATTCTAATTGACAAAATAATGGAACTGTGGTTTTTATTAGGTAGCTGCAGAGTGTGTTGTGTTTTTTGTAAGGTTGATAAAATGATTCAAGGACTCCCACAAACCGTATCATTAACGCCACAACCCTGAGCAGAGAACTTCCTAGGATTATTCTTCGAACTTAATGGTCGCGGCGGAATATATCTCCCTACTCCCCGTGGGGCACGTGGAGAGGGAGATACATGTGCTGGGCCAGGCGGAGGAGGTTCAGGTTGTCGGCTAGGCATAGGAGATCTAACATCAGCAAACTCTACTGACATCCTCTGACAACATTCTTCTACAGACTAATGAAGACCAACATGCCTCTCATTGCAACATATCTTGTTACATTTTATAGGGTGTGCTTGTCTTCATGAAATCACAGTCTTCGATGTCGGACGACGAGATTTGATAGATAATAGAAGCCGGCTCAGAGGAAGTAAAGACCTACTGAGCCCATATTCTAAGGCCCAAATAGAGTTTTTGTAGTTGAGTCAAACTGGGCTTCAGCCTAAGGCCCCAATCTTTTTCCTTTTCATATTTGGTGTGATTTGGCAAATTAATTAAAGATTTTTTTTTTTTCTGAACCTCCATGAAATTAATTAAAGATTCAAACTGAAACATTTCCGATGTTCCAAACTCAAGCATAATGTTTTTCCTATTTAGGGGACCAGGTAAAAAATGCCCAATGACATAAAACTCAGTTGGAGATTTCACATCACATTGTACATAGATTAGTATTTAGTACATAGAGTATCATACTGGTATCATTATCATATATATAAATGTGTTAATCAGAGTGACTAAATAGTTAAGAGTTTGAAATTTTAAGTTGAAAATCTTAATTTTAAATTTTGAGTCTAATGAAGAGATATTTTTTAAAAAAAAAGTTATTTTTTTATATATAACCCATCATTATCGTGAGATGTACCAAATATATATATATATATATATATGTCAAAATTCTATTACCTCAGAGTACAAGCTTAAAAATTTTTAGTACATAGATTAATAATGCAGCGGTTTTTATAAAGGTAGATGCAGGCTGTGTTGTGTTATTTGTAGGGATGTTCATATCTGATCCAATCTAATTAATCCAAGTTAAACTGATCCAATCCAATTAAAAACCGATCCAAATCAATATAAAATTGAGTTGATTTGAATTATAAAATTTCAAAACTAATATAATTGGTTTGGTTTATAGTTTTACTTTCAAACCGCCCGAACTGTCCAATTACAAAATAAAATCTGATTACAAGATAACTTAATGAAATAATATAATATATTTTTTGTAATAGTTTAAAATTTCTTTTTCTTATTTTATAAGATAATAACTCTATTAACTTAATTAAAAAATAAAAATAGAATATCTCCATATTCCCTAAGTTATCTTTTCATTTTAATCATGCACTTTAACCCTAACTCTAAATTTCTAATTCACCCACGACTCTATCCTATCATAATTGGTTTGCACCTTTATTCTTAGAACCCTAAATTTCTAATTTATTTCTAAAATAATATTATGATTCTCTTAATTAAGTTTAAAGAAATATCATTCTAAAAGTCTTAAAACTATATAATAAAACTAGTCTTGATATTCTACTATTCTTAGATATTTAGTTTAGAAAATTTAAATTTTGATTATAAATGCATTTAATCAATTTTAGTGATATTCATGTTAAATTTTATTCACTTATAACATAATTTATAAGATGGGATTAAATTATCAGTGTGTTAAGAAAAAAAAAACTAATTTTAACCTTTAAGAATTATTTACACTATACTAAAAATTTGAAGTCATCTTTTGTTGTTCTTGGTGCCTCTAGTGATGTAACCAAGAAAAATTTTTGAATCTTTTCAATTTTTACAAATGTAAAATTAAGAGTATAAGAACTTGTTTATAATTTATACCTTTTATTATGTTTTTACTAATTTGGATGTTAATGTGTTTTATAGTTATGTTTTTTATTTGATATTAAAATATTTTTATATTATCTTATATATTTAATAATGTTAAAAACTGATCAATCCGATCGAACCACATGGATCCGATTTAAGTTAGATTGATTTGGTTATCATATAATATTGAATTTGATTGGTTTAAAAATTTTGTTAACTGATTAATTAAATTGATTTAAAAAATATTAAAATTCTAACCAAACCACACTAGGAACACCCTTAGTTATTTGTAAGGTTGATGAAATCATTGAAGGAGTCCCACAAGCCGTATCATTAACGCCACAACCCCGAGCAGAGAATTTCCTAGTATCATTCTTCGAACTTAATGGTCGCGGCGGAATATATATCCCTCCTCCACGTGGGGCTCGTGGAGAGGGATGACCATGTGGTGCGCCGGGCGAAGGAAATCTATATCGTCGGCTAGGCATAAAAGGATGCGAATCCATTTCATCTGTTTACAGGGGAAAAAAAAAATGGTGTGCCTATAAAGGAAAGAGCAAGCACTTTGTGTGTAATTAAGCCCCATATATATAAATAAATAAACTATATATGTTGATATATAGATAGTGTAAAATTGTAAATGTGGGTTTAAATAAATAAATTATTGTAATTTAAAATCAATAAACAATAACTAAAGTAGCTCTCATATTTAATTCACATGTTTTTTTTTTTATATTTATTCAATGTGAAATTTTTTCACTTAATAGATAAATGTGTGAAATTGAGCACGTAAATTTCAACACAAAACTTGCCTTAAAGTGAAAATCAATTGGTTAAAGGTAGAGTAGTCTTCCTTGCATGCTTATATGTTATATTTCTAATGTCCGATTAATCCAATAAGCACAACCTCCTCACATGCAAACTTGATATTAACTTTGAATTATATCACATGAATCATGTTACGGACTTAAAAAGCCCTCCTCACATGCAGGTTTGATCTGTAACATAGATCTTAGGCTACAAACTTAAGAGATTCAAAGTTAATACTGAGTTACATATGAGAGTTACATATGAGGAGAACATATTATGTAAGAAAATCCCACATTAATAAAATAACAAAGAAACATATATATTAGTCAAATATACAGAATAAAACTTTATTTATTGTCAATTAATTTTAAATTAGATATAATTTTCTCAAGATGAATAAACAAGAGAGGAGTCTAAAACCATATGAAACTATTCAGTAAATTAAAAGATGGGTATAGGTGATGGTAAAATTGTAATATAATCCATAAATGAAGAAGAGACAACTTACATCTAACACCATGTGAGGTGAAGAGGATTGATGCCATTGCCATAAGAAAGCAGCAAATAATAAGAGAAATTCGGTGAATTTTTGGCACGTAAGAATGCTGTGCATGTATATGGAAGTTTAGCTTTTTTTTTACTCGGAACGGTCGGTTATGGTGTCAATTGTTGAGCTAGATAGCTCTTAATTTATAGTGTTTTAGTGTTATCACTCTCCAAGTTGGAAGTTTAATTCCAACAACGTCTGGTGCGGGGGTGTTTACTTCCAACGTGTAGTTAGGGTTGGAACATGTTGATGCGCCACACAAACTAAATATATATGATCTGATATATATGGCCTTAGAGACGGCAACAATTGATTACATATTGTAGAGCAAGTTGAGTTTTGTTTTTTTTATTGGAGTAGAGCAAGTTGATCCGATTTGGAACGTACTTCTTATGCCTACTTAATTAATGTGTAAAAGTTATGTAAGTGAATCTTAACTTCTTCTTCTTTTTTTGATAAATTAAAATTTTATTATAATAGGTGCAAGCTGTATTTATCCTTACAATAAATAAAAAAATATAAAGAGCACGTAGTGAGTTAAGCTTCATTTGCGCAAAAGTTTGGGAGCTGGCACCATTCTCTATAGCTAAACGTAGCAGATTTAGATTTCCTTTTAACCCAACCATAAGTTTTTGACTGCACTAAATCAACTACTATTGTTTTCATCCCATGACAATTTATTGAACGGTACCATTCCTGTAATAATTGTCCAAATTGATATATAAAGGCTAAAATTATATCATATATAAACGTAAAAAAATTTTATTACTTGAATCATTATCATATATTTACATAATTATCATATGTCTTAAATTCAAGTCTTGCTTCTTACTTTTTAAAAATTTTAAAATATTATTTTCTAACAATTCTAGTTGAACCAGTTAATTTAATTGATTCAACTAGTTGAACCAAATCTAGTATCCAAAATGAGTCAATCACAAGCTCAGTGTTTAAAACATTGTTATATAGCGTACATACCTATATATACTCGTTATCAAGTCAGCCAATCTATTCTTGGAAGTTTAACTCCAACAACGTCTAGTGAAGTGTGGGGAAAGTTCAACTTCAACAACGTCTATTTAGGGGCATTGGAACATGTTGATGTCCTCACACGAGCTAATTACAATTGTGATGTATGCTAAAGACAACAATAATAGAACTTTAAGATTTTTTTTTTTATCAGCCAAATAAAATTTTTATTAATATAGAGTACAATGGGTACTCTAACTCATATTTACAATACTCTTATCATCATTATTAAAAAAAACTTTAAGATTATATATATTAGTGAATAAGTATTGTTTTATAAATTAAATTTAAATTTTAAATTTTGAAATTAGTATCTAAAAAAATTAATTTTTTTTTTAAATGTGCTTAGCTAATGTGAGATCAGAGGCTTCTTTAAAATCGTCGACAAAAAAATAGTGTTAAGCGTGCAAAAGTTAAATTCAAAAACGCCTATTTATCCAAATAAAAAAAAAAAAAAAAGAGACGGCAACAATTGGTTATATAATTTGTTTTTTAGCTGGGTAGAGCAAGTTGATCAGATTGAAAATATTTCATGGCTACTTAATTTGGTGTTAACTTGGACCAAGTCGTACTCAGATCGAACTTATGAACATGAATTTTCCAAGGACGTGGCTCACATAGTTGAAAGTTCCCAATGGTGAGGGTTAGAATAATTCGTCGACGTCTTCTTTTTTTCATCTGATTGTGGGGCACATGCAAAAAACAAGAAGAGCCCTAAGTGAGGTTCGAGCAACAACAATTTGTTGCTCACACAGGACTTCACTATATAATACTCTTGCTTTGCACGAAAATGTTAAAGTAAAATAAATAAATTTATAATATTTATAAGGAAAAAATGTATATTAATCTTATTTTCAAAATAAATTAAAATTTTAATCTTAAATTACATCATTTTATTTAATTAAAATTTAATTTAAAATTTAAAAAATTATTATTTTAAATATTAATATTTTGATTTAGAAATTAATTATATTAGAGTATATATAATTAGTTTCCAAAGGTAAATATCAACATTTGATAGAATGAATTTTTAAATTTTAAATTAAGAATTTAATTTCTAAATATAAATTAAAACTTTAACTTTTTTTAAAAATCAAGAGTTATAAGTATTAATCTCTAGACAAATCATGCAAAATACCCCTTAAACTTGATTATCAGTGGCAGATTAGGCCCTAAATCAAATTCAGAAGGATACCACCCCTTATACTCTTCAACAGTGGCAAATGAACCCTTGTCTGATGGTTGACGCATTTTTTCCAAAGTAGTCAATACCGTACCGGCATGCATCTCGATTTTGTTACTGGAATGAGACGTACCCGATACTAGAATTTTTTGCGTACCGTTTCGGATTTATCGTTATAAAAAAATTTTATGAAAATTTTGGGGGAGAAGTTGAAGAAAAAAAACAAGAAAAGGACTAAATTGAAAAAATTAAAAAGCTGAGGATGAAATTTACTAAAACAAACCATAAGCCCAGCCCAATATTGAGCAGCCCATC